TTTGTCTGCCAAAAATAAAAACTTAATTATTTAATTCCTCAAGGTAAAAATAATTCTGCCTCATACTTAATCAATGTATAGAAAACTAATTAATGCACATTAATCTCCATGATAACATAAAATTCAGTGTTCAAAGAAACTTCTCACAGTCTCAAGTAGTAAATCATAAATTTTGGTGCTATTCAAATGTAATGAGGTCTAAACATCCTGCAATGACAGGCATCAATGTTGTCAAATACTTAAAAGCACAGTATAATGAACTCATAAGTTTTATATTTGCTTCTTTGGGTTGTATTAGAAAGAATAAAAAATCTTGTTAGCTCTTAATCTGTAAGCTATTAGACTTAGAGATTTTAATGAGCCAGTATGAAATTATTTTCTAACCATTAAAAACCTTGTATTCAAAAAAGTTCACAACTCTTTGAAATTAGATTTTGGATCTCCCTTACAGATATAAAAATAGAAGCATATTTCTTCTCAGGGTTCAAAACAATTTGAAAGGTCAGTTGGATTTATATGTGTGTACATATACAATGGAAGATATGACAGCCAGTTGCCGCTAAGGCCTTGCCCAAAACCACCTACTAAGTCTTTGTCTATGAATTCACAAATACATTAGACTGTCATAAAGTAAATCTGTTTACACATTTCACACTGTCCTGGAATCTGACCCTTGGATACCAATAGATTTATTTATAAGTTATTTCAAAAGGAAAATTTATTTATTTATAAGTTATTTCAAAAAGAAAAAAAAAACGTGATTGCGAGAATAAAATAAAATCAGCTGGAAATACTGTCCAGAAAAAAAACACCAAAAACTTTCTTCCCATTTGAGTTAGAGCAACAGAAAATTAACACAGAGTTGGTAAAACCTATTAAGAGAACAAGACGAGATATCCCTAGACATGAATGATGAAACAAGAACAATCTACTTACTGTAGATTAAATAAAAAAAAAAAAAATCCAGTTCAAAATTACATGAATGTATAATAGATCAACAGGCAGTTCAAAAAAGCTGTAGAGTACAATTGCTAAAACGTTGCAATTATAAGAAAAATATGGTTAATAGTTCTACTGTAAATAATACAGTGTGTGGCAAAAATATCCCCCACACAATGGTAAGACATTAGTGGCAATGGTGTCTTCATCTAGCTAATGTCTTACCATAATGTGGGAGGTATTTCTGCCACTCTCTGTATAAATAATTTCCAAAGAAACATTTATTTCAAACCAGTTCAAAAGTACTTCCTTTCAAACAATCATAAAAAATTCACAACCCATATATAATATAATTTCATGCCACAATCAGTTTCTTCCAAACAAAATTGATGGAAATCGTTCAGCTTCGTAATTAATATTTTAATTCTTTAGTGATGGTGACATGAGAAGTAAGTGTATTCAAATCTTTTGAAAGAGTTATTATATTCTATTTCATACTGAGTTACATGTAATAATATATTTATATTATATTCTATTTAACGTTAATCTGACTACCAATGGTTTCACTTTACTCAAAAACATTGCTGCAATGATAATGTGATTTTCCCCCCTCTAAATCAAGCAGATAAATACTTGAAAGAAATGCAGGTAAATACTTGATCTCATGTGAACTAAGTTAGGCTGAACAGTCTGCATACCAAAATTGAAACAAGATTTACTTATAACGGACGTTTTCCATGGTAACTATTTTTACCAACTATAACTTTGTTTCTTTTCATATATAGATGACGACTATTCAAAAGAAGTCTTTGCATCAAGAAAAAAAGAAAAATTGTTCTTTTCACAATAATTCATTTCTATTCCTTAAGGCCCTTCTTATCAGAATTCTTGATTTTTTTCTATTCCCACCTGTTTCAATACTTTTCTCCTTATCAAAAATTATATCTCAATTGTACTGACACTTTTTCGACACCACAATCTTCACAATCCTAACACACTGGCTCAATTGTTTTATTACTTGTTTTTCTACAGTGCAAATAATTCATTCATGACAAAAAACAAATAATGATATAAAAAAAAATGTTGACATTAGTGCTATTCAAAAATACTACCTCAGGCCACTATAATTATAATCAAAATTTTAAAATAGATTTATTCTTAGCTGAAGCATGTTAAAGTAACTTACTAGGAAAATTGCTAAGATCAAGCTCTGAGCAGTACATATCTATCTATCTTGGTATTTGTGTTACTTTGTCCATCTATTCTTCCCCAGCTATGGGTTAAATAAAGGAAACTGGCCTCTGTAGCTTTGACTGGTAACCAGTCTAGAAAAACAGCTGAGAAATCAAAACCAGTTGGGCATAGGACTGGCAACTCTGTGTAGTTGTTATGAAAACCACAGCAGCAACACCAAGTGTTGTGAGGTTGTGGTCTTATATTCTATAGGGGAGTAATGTCACTAAGGAGGCGAAGGTTACTTTGTCAAATATTCCATTCATTCTATGAGAAAATAAGGATTTATTAATGATCTTTCTCATTTAACACTTCCAATTATATTTTGCTGAACATTCAAATGCAAAACGTACTGGAAATCTCAAGAAAAACAGAACACATTATATTCAAAGTACTGATTACAAAACACATCTAAATTCCTATTTTTATAGTTAAAGTTTAATGTTCTAAAACTAAAACATTTGAGGTGATCTATTTAGAAGCAATTTTTCTTCAAAGAGTGATTCACTATTTTTTACAGCTTATCAAACCTTTGTGAATTATTTAAAACTGAAACATATCCTGAATTGTATAAGGTTGCATACAGAATCCTGTATTGTGATGCACCTCCCCCATCTAAGTACTGACCAGGTTTGACACTGCTCAACTTCGGTGATCAAACGATAACCAGTTTTCAAAGAGTGAAGAGAAGAAAATTATAATCTTATTAGAATTAGGTCAATTAATTAGAAAGTGTGCTAGTAATTTATATCAAGAATTAAAATCAAACTGCAGAAATATTAATTGGAAAATATATCCAGCATAAATTTAAACCAAATTGTTTAGTTACAACTAAAGTATACATAACGAAGGAGTTTTTATACACATTTTCAGTTCTCAGATGTGAAAATGAAACATTAAATATTTTTAATTTTATTAACAGTTTTATTTTACCATCTTAAAATGTTTTGTTTCTTTTATATAAAAAAAAAAACAAGGAAATGTTATAAGCTCAGCACAAAAAAGCGATTAAAAAGAGAGAAAAAGACAGGAAACAAAGTACCTCATGTAAAATAGTGAATAATAGATAATTAAAAAAAATGTTTATGAGATTTTGATGAGTTTTAGGTAATTTATTTTTAATTAAAGAAAAAAAAAGGAGGCAAAAAAAAAAAAAAAAAAAATTAGAATAATCTTTCCTATTTTTTTTTTGTTACCATTTCTTTTCATGTATTTAATTTCCTAGTTCTCTCAACCCATTCTACCAAGAACATTTTGGTATTGTGAAACAGGAGAGAAGTGGTGATCACAAGATTTTTCAAAATCAAACCTCAGCAACATTTCTCACTAATTAGAGTTAAAGTTAATTTCCCAATTATTTATAAGAATATAAAAAATATTTTTTGACACATTGATATCTATATGGGTCCTGAAGCATTGTTAAAAATGCCACACTTTGTTTTTAAACAATATTCAGGAATCTACAGTATGAGCAGAAAAGAAAAATAACACCCACAAAAGAAAAAATATAGTAAGGTGTATTTCATATACTACAGTTATATATATATATATATATAGGAGGTATGGTAGAGTAATAGATAACAGCTTGAAGTGAGGAATCAGAGAGCCGAGTTTGAATTCCAGTCAAATCCATTATATTCACTTACGTGCTAATACCCTTGAGAAAGGTATTAATCCTCTTCTCCCCCAGCTATCAGTAAATAGCAGGACAGACTGGGTTTTATAGCCTTGGATGGCAACTGGTCTAGAAGGACAAGTCTGGATTCAAAACCTGTGGAGGGTTATTTGGGAACCTTGTGCCACATGTTGCACCAGGTCTCCATATCTGGCTCTTCAAAAAGTGTGGTTGGTTCTGCACAAAGCCTTCACCACTATAATCAAATCACATGTGTAGGTGTCTGGCTGTCAGTTCCTAGGAACTGAATTGCTTGACCCTCATACATCAGAAAAATGGTGGGAGAGTCCAGTAGTGTTTGCATGTGCGTTTATATATATATATATATATATATATAAAAAAAAAAAAAAAAAAAAGAGAGACTGTTGCCTTTTTTTTTTTTTTCTTAATCTGTAGTCAAATGCAAGGTGTGGGTGACAACAGTTAACAGCAGAGAATGTGATTGGCAAAGAGTGTTCAAACAACTGGGACAATTTGCGTTCACTTTACACAAATACCCTCAGGAAAAGCATGAATCTTCATCTCCCTCTGGTTGTAGTTAAATAATAGTGCCCATGTAAGGGAGTCTATCTTGAGCATGATGTGAGCACCACAGCCATGTGAAAACTAAGTTTTCTGTTTTCTTTTCTTTTTTTTTAAATAAATGTTCACCTAATACAAGGCCCAAGAGCCACTCAAGGTAGGGGATTACTGAATAAAATCGTTGTATGGATATATACGAGAAGAAGGTAAGTACAGATTATGAAGAAACATAGAATAGGTAACAGCTACTTCAAAGTGGTTAAGATTGCAGTAATCAGGGAAGTGTTCTTTCAGGAGCGTGTTCTACAACATAGTGGTTGCCTGAGTGGAACTTCCTTTTTACCTATGGAAAGGATTCATTCATTCATTTTTTACGGCTTATCAACTTTGCAGGTTATTTAATCCTAAAAAAATATTTTTTAGATTATAAGAATTTTTTTTGAGATAATAATGGTTTAGTCAAACAAATCTTACTAATTAACCCATAGATGGGGGAAAGAGGTGGATTCATACCTATCCCAAGAGTATTATTTGCATGTAAGTGAGTAAAACAAACCTAATTGGAATTGGATCTTGGCTCCCAGATTAACAATTCCAAGCCATTATCTATTACACCATCTGCACATCCAAGCTTACAGCACCAGGTATTTCCAAGCAGTTAGCCATCTACATACTGACTAGGCTTGATGTTGCTTAACTTTGGTGATCATATGGGAACCAATGTTTTAATGTGATATGGCCATAAGCTGCTAATAGAAGTGAATAAGGATGATTCAATCCTGTGTATGAAGTTGCTACTGAAACTGCAAAAGAATCATCAATCAAATACAAACAAATGTATTTCTTTCTATATTCACATGTGAGGTCAGGAGAAATCTATACCATTTCTTTTTGAAAGCTTTCTTATGACACACACACTATAATCTATATAACTTTGTTTTTCCAATAATAAAATTTGCAAATAGAACTAAAATTGAAAACATTGTATACAGTTATTTTGAAATTAATATGAAATATTGAAAGATTATTCATAAACAATATTTTTAACAGTATCATTTGTGGAAAAAACAAGGTTGTAGTTGAAACAGAATCCTTTATGTAATAAAAAGAAAAAAAAGTTACTTTGAAGCTTTTAGCAGAGAATAATCTTCAAAACTATTATAACACATGACATCAAAAGAAAGAAATTACATGAAAGGAAGCAGGGATGGATATGAGTTATAAGTGATTTGCGAATAGATTACATGAACATTTTATTATCATGGGAATGGACAATAAAAATTTAATTAAAAAAAAAAAAAAGCAACAAAAATGCCATTATGACATTTCCCCTCCCCCTTATCTATCAAAATATATATTTACCAACCCTTTAATATAGAATTGAGAAAGTTATTAAAGAGCATTGAAAACAAAGCAGCACTCTCTTTTTGATAAGAGTTGAAAAACAAAGTTATTTCAGACTGGAAGTACCAAGATAAACTGAAAGAATCAACCAGTAAACAAAATTTATGGCGGAAATAAAAGCAACAAGCTTAATTAATTTTTGTGCTTCAATTTAATAATTAAAATATACACCACATATATTTCAAATGAACAGGTTTTATAAATGTATCGATTTAAAATAACCCATTAACATAAATTGCATATTGTAACTGTTCTGAATCAACATTTAAAAGGGGGAAAAAAAGGTTAATTTGTTCGTATTGTATATTAAAAATAAGCAATTTTAAAATATTTTATTGAAAATGAAAAACAAGTAAGTACCGAAATAGAACACTCAAGACTAATAAACAAAGATTGGTTGATGTTTATTAAGTATAAAATAAAAATAAAATAAATAATTTTGAATGGTGGTCACATCTATTAATTGCTGCTGAAACAATCATTATATACAATCAAGATACCAGCAGTCATAGTTATTAGAAAGTAGTGTTACAATTATGTAGAGCTCACAGATTAAAGACAATACTGGGATTGTCCAGAGGGGCTGATGTGATGAAGTTGTAAGACTAAAAAGATAAGGGGATGGTCAAGACAAATGGCAATTAGCCACAGTAGAGTTTGAAATAAGAAAACAAATACAACTTTCTTTTTGTTCTTACCTCTTCCTCCTCCTCTTCTTCATCCCAATTCCTATCATTGAGTTCATTCGTTGCAATACGTTTAGCCATTATATTTCAGGATCTAAGGTAAAAACCAAAAAAAAAATATTTTACTACAAATGTGTAATTTGTTCAAAAGGTATGATTTTACAGCACAGCCAAAACAATATCTTAAAAAATGTCTTTAAAAAAAAAAAAAAAAAAAAATCATCTCTGATTAAATATCCAAGCCTGACAAAAATATATTAAACATTTTCAGGTAGATGTCACTGTTTAAATAGACTGGTCCAGTCATAAAAAAAGTAAAAAAATTTTATTTTAAATAATTTTTGTAGATTAGCATTATTTAAATATTCCTTTGGTTGTGAAACGTCTCAAAATTGAAAAATATTTTTTTTTTTTTAATATCATTTTAGATGGGAGGTTTTGTTCATAATATCATTGTAGTGTAAAATTGGTCTCTGAATTTTACAGATTTATTGGATATAACAAATGTCAAGTTTGAAAGTATGATAACATCATTGATATCTGCATATTTTAAAAATTTCCTGAACTTTATTTTTTTTAACTTTCAAGATTAGCCTAACACAATCTTCAAATCTTCCCATTTCCTTGCAATTTAGCCTGATACTCAAACGTAATAAATAGGAATATGATGCAATTTTTTTAAAACTTAAATAATTAAATATAATACTAAATATTACACTGTGATTATGATCAAATGGATTAAAGCATTGTTTAAAATATAATGAATTCAATCCCTGGGTCTGGTAGTGCTGAAAATTCACATGTTCTGGTTCAGTGGAAGACACTAACAAGCAACAAAAAAAAAAAAAATGAATAAAAAAAGGGAGTACTGATACAAAATTTTGCCCTAAGCATGAAAAGCAGGATTAGAAAACCTTACCCCCATGGATTGAATAAAGGGCACAGTTTAAAATACTGAGATTACAAAGATAAGTACCTTAAGAAAACTGGAGTGTACAACAACCAAGGCAAAAATACTAGTTTAAATAATAAAGCATATAATGATAATTCCTCATAACAAGAAAAAACAAAACAAGAAAAAACAAAACAAGAAAAAACAAAACAAGAAAAAACAAAACAAGAAAAAACAAAACAAGAAAAAACAAAACAAGAAAAAACAAAACAAGAAAAAACAAAACAAGAAAAAACAAAACAAGAAAAAACAAAAAACAAAAACAAAAAAAGACAAAACAAAAACAAGAAACAAAACAAGAAGAAACAAAACAAGAAGAAACAAAACAAGAAAAAACAAGAAGAAACAAAAGAAGAAACACATGCATCTTTCTTGTTTAGTGTTTCCTTAAAACTGCGCTAACATTCCAAAATGAAATTACTGACACGCTAATAGCATAGTCAGAAGAAAACCAATTTTGACAAGAGTTTACCCAATATACACATGTGCACGGCATCCTATTTTGTCTTTCTACATATTTATTAACTCTTACAAACACTGAATTCGACAAATTATACAAAGGCCTGAATTGAAATGTTTATGTTCACCTTGATTGTTTTCAAGGCTGTATTTGTGAAAATCTTTTGTACAAATCAATCCCAAAGAAATAACAAAATTCACTTTTATAATTTAAAAAAAAATTTATGAATATTTCCAAAATGAAAAAAGTTACTACAAAAACAAAAAAGACTTCAAGTCTTTCTAGTTAAACATTTTATTTGTGGGAAAATTACACATGTCCTAAAATAAGATTCAGTTTAGTTGAAATCATTGCAAGCATGTTGAAGAAAAATTGACACATTGATTCTTACATGGACAACTTCCAGAATAAAGTGTCATTAATCACAAAAATATTAAGTTACTCCCACTGGTGTTTCACCCTGATCTCACAGCTCAAAGCTAAGTGTCTTTATAGTGCTAAGGAGTCAATATTTCAAGAGATCCATACTTTCACTATGCAAAGTGACTGCAACCAATTGGTTCCACCAGTTTTAAATATTTATTTTCAACTGTAGAAATAAATCAACTAACAGAAAATAATTTGAATTTTAACTGAGGACAGGCAATGGTAGTCACAACCATTGAAGCTAAACTTTGTGTAGATACCAGACAAATAGATGAACTTCTTTGCATTATATTAGCAAATCAAGAATGTGACAGACATTTCAAAACTTTCCATACATTCTATCATCTTATTTTTCCAACAGAGATACTTATTTGCTCCCACTTCATTAGATAGTTCCAAACTTTTTCACCAATATTTAGTTTCATATGTAATTAAATGGAATTGGACTTGTGAGTTAATTACTAAAAGCAGTTTGATCAGTTGAAAACCCAGACTTGCTATGCTTCACTCCAATTCTGCAACCTGTTGCTTTGAAATTCAAAAATGACAATTCATACCTAAAATTTATTTCAGCATTTGGTTAAAAGATGTGTGTGAGGAAAGTATTTTTTTTTCTCCACTATTGGCTGATTTTGAAAAGGTATTCTGTTCCTCCCACACCAGCTACAACAATTCCCTTAATTTACATACTAATTTGTAATTATTATTTCAATGTTTTTTTCTGTCTGTCTTCAAAGTCTTACACTATTCCAGTTTTTTTTTTTTTGCAAATGTTGACATTGTTTTCACTGTTGCAATTGTGCTTAAAGGAACTCATTTGTTTGTGTGTTTAGCCAATAAAATACTGCCAACTTTCAATTACATTTCTCAAGTTGAGAAATACTGAAACTATAGTGACATTTTCAAGCTTTTGAGTATAAAAGGTCAGTTTCTTATTAACATGTTTGACCTCCTTGCTATAGAGTACTTCAGTTAAACTTATCAATCTCAAACTGTCAAAAAGGTTAGTCTTCAGATTTGAACACCTATTGGTTGACATTTTTCAGGTATTTGTTTGCCCATTTTGGAGAAGCTGAACAGGCTTTCACTGAACATTTTTTGCTAAGTTCCCATTCAGTGGTTGGTATTTCCTTGTTGTAAGTTTTTGATTTTACCTACTCTGCTTTGGCTGAAATGTTATTGGGCATTCCTTCAGATGCATGTCATATCTGGCATCCCTTCGGGTGACCCCAGTTCCTGATTGACATATGTGGAGAGGAATGCTTTAGACTGATGCAAAATATACACATGTTCTTAACTTCTTGATTGTATGAAGGTAAAACAAATGAGTGACTTGAGCAAAGTGAGTTTTGCACTATAGAGCTAAGCTGACATTTGTGGTTTTTGAGCCCCCTGAATGATTTTCAGCTAAATTATAGAACAGTATTATTGTTATTTTATTTAGGAAGAAAACTGAAACAAAACTTTCACATTTCTAATAAAAGAAATAAGGGTTTAGGTCTTAAATTTTAACAAATTTAGACATCTTTTGGCGGTGATGGAGGTGGCAGAAGCACATTTCAATATCAAAAATGTATTCCGCACAAAAAATGAAAAATTAGATTATGATCATCTAATAAATACAAGGAAAGTTATATCAAAAATGATATTTGGTGCCCTGTATATGGTGCTAAAAAAAAGGTAATGATCAATTTCATATATGAAAAAAAAAAAAAAAAAAAAAGTACATTTTAAATAAATTTTCTGAGAATGATTTTCTTACATTTTCAAGATTTAAATTGTTTTAAATTTGGAAACATACATTAAAGTAAAAAAA